CCCCAAAACCCCAAAACCCCAAAACCCCAAAACCCCAGTTCTGGATCAAATTATTGAAATTTAAATAAATATGAGGCAGAGCAACAAAGACTCAGAGATAGCAATGAATAGCGAAAGACATCCCCCACTAGTATCAGAGGAGTCTAATACTAGGAGCAGGGTCTCCTTGATAGTCATTCTTATCGTTTTCTTAGTGATAGTACGTACTCTTAGATTTTAAAAGATATTATTGGTTCAAATTTAAAAACATGCCTATCCAGTTCAAATCAAAAGACAATCCGATCATTCTAATTAAACTATAGGGGTTTAATGTATCATGATTGATACCCTATAATCATCCCTCCACAGAGAGCCATTTCTTAGATGATGTCTTTGATGTCTGGAGAGCTTCTTCTTATGAAGAATTTAAAGTCATCCCAGCCAATCAGAGCAACTGTGGTGAAGAGTGGGAACTCATCCTTGGAGATAAAATGTTATGGGAAGGTACACAAAAGGGATGCCATTGCCCTGAAGACCGAATCGAGAGTAAGTTGTGGTCTCTTAAACATAGAGCATACCTGAACATACAAAGAAATCAATGAGCAAAACTGTAAATAATATCAAATCTACTCCAAAAATCAATATTACCGCTATCAATGGAGTCAATATTTGTGGTAAAAGAGGAAATCTCACTTTTTACGACATAAGAGAACCCCATCAGACCAGATGGCCAAATCAAAACAGATTGCTGCAAGAAGTTGAAGAAGAATCTGAGAAGACACCTGAAGTCAATAAAGAAGCTAGTGAAGTTGCAATTCCAGAGAAAACCTCAGAAGATGACACTTCTGAAACCTCTGATATAGCTGAAATTGAAGGAGACTTTCTCCCAGAAGAGCTTCAAGACACTCTTCTTCCTTCTGAAGAGATAAACATTACTGGAATTCCATTGAAAATTCAAAAAGTGTCATTTGAGCCTGACGAACCAGAGGAGGAGAGCAAGCCAGAATCTCTCCCTTTGGAACTTATCAAGCAGACTCCTTTGCCAGACTCGACTGCAAAGTCAACCTTAATGAAGCCAAATCTTAAAGTTCCTCTCACTAATTACCAAAAGAATGAGATAAAGAGGATTAAGAATCTCAAGTGGGAAGAAGATATCAAGAAAGCCAATGAAGAGCGAGAAGGAGAGTATCAGAAGAGCTTGAATGCTGATCCTCTACATTATGAATGTGTCCCAAATTACAAGCCATGTGGAGCTAAGAATTCTGATGGGAAGTTTCCTTTCTGAATCCCTGAAGACAAACACTGTCCTGTCAATAATGTAAATATAATCCCTTCGAGGACACAAAAGATGTCTGAGGGCTACAAAGCTATTCCAATTAATGAGAACTTGACTTTTATCTACACAACTCAGGGAGAGAGGCTTCCAATTATGGATTTCAAGCTGACTGAATCTTTGCCTTGTGTAAACTCTCATGAAGAGAGCATCTCTCAGGAACGAAAATATTATCCATTGATCAAGAATTTGGAAAATAAGGGATGAAAGACTACATTTGCTAAAGAATTCGAGTTTGACAGGAGATACAACTTCGTCTACAAAGTTGATGAACAGACTTTATTCAGTGATAATGGAATATGGTGCCTTAAGAATGATAACCAATGCTTTGTACCAAGAGATCCAAGTCAAGATCATGACAGAGACTTGGCCTACAAAACTATTGGAAATTTTACCAAGAGACTTCCCTTATTCGATGAATTTGGCAATAGCAAGGAATTTTCATATAATCTGTTTGCTAGACACTACATTCCATGGGATAGGAACAACCCAATGTGAGGAAATATAGGCTCAGTGACCTTATCCTCTGTTGCAACTCATTACACTGATTATGTTGACAATAAATATCTTGCCCTATATCTTTCAGGGGGAGGAGCAATTGTCTTCACAGCAGTAGCATTTGTGCTTCTTTTTATTGCTGACTGATGCTGTGAAAACCCTCATGGAAAGAGATCGATTGTCGGTATTCTAAATATCATGGCGATCATAATCTTCATAGGCTTTTTAATGTTCTACTGAGTAACAATATACTGGCTGATAAATCACATTGGTGAGCACCAAATTGAGTACAGAACTTACAGCCAAAATGAATGCTCTGATGAATATCTGAATAAATTGGTATTCAACTATGCTGAGGATCAGGATGCTTTGTCTGACAGGCTGTGGCATACGATCTATTTTATCTGAAAATCAATCTTCACAGGAGTTTTGCTTATATTTTACACTATGGTTAATGTGATGATAAAGTAATTCAATAATCTGATTATATCTTGGGGTTTTGGGGTTTTGGGGTTTTGGGGTTTTGGGG